CCCCTCTCTCTCTCTATAAGCGGTAATTATTTCTTAAAAAATATTTAAAGTTTAATTATATTTCGTCCGATGCTTTTTCGTTTAATTTTTCGACGATTTAAATATGATTCGGATTGAGAACGCACAATAAAATAGTCGAATCGCGGGTCTGAGTAATTAACATAACGATAAGCTCCGTGATATATTAATCGCTTATTAAATAATTAATTTATAATTTAAAATATTTATATAATTTAATATTCCACTTTTATATACGTCATAGTACGCAAAATATTTTTGGCTGCGAATTATCAATAACATGGTATTCGGGCTTGGCGACGTAAACAATAGCGCGCTAATGTTAGATTATCAGAAAGGCGCTAACTCTACCCCCACCATGCCCACCGCCGCCATCTTAGGATACAAACGTCTCTCAGTAGTGCTTATATATATATATATATATATATAATCCAGGACTCTAATGTTTAGGTGTTTCGGTCTTGTTCATCATTCGCGCGACGACACTCGAACAGAAAAATAGTGGTGCGAAACGCTCCGCCGAAGTCGTTTTCTAAACGCCATTACAACCAGTATCAAGAAATTATTTTCTATGATTAATAATTAATTAACTTTTATAAATAATATATAACTACATACACATATCGCAACAATCGATCTCGAATCGTATTTTTCGCGTAATTTATTCATTTAATAAAGTAAGAATCAAAGTGACAGAAATCGAAATTATAAATATTACATATGATTTTTTGACGTATCGTCAAAGAGTTTCGAAGTCTCTTACATGTAAGGGGCTTATTCCTTTATTATATTTCAGTAGTATTTCACAAGTATACATATATGTGTCATATTACCATTGAAAATAAAACTTTTATATCTTGCATTTTACCTGTTTGAAAATAATTTTAATGGATAAATGATTTTTTGCGTTCAAAATGATACCAGACATGACATAAACCTGATAATTTTTAGTTAAATACGTAATCAAAATTTTTATTATTAGTTTAATTAAAAATTATCCAATTTATGTTGTATTTGATATCATTTTAATTGCAAAAATCTTATTAATCCATTAACATTATTCTCAACCAAAATACAAGTAAGAATCTTTCTTAAAGTAAGAATCAAAGTGACAGAAATCGAAATTATAAATTATCGTTTTGTTGCAATTTTTACAGAACAATAACTATTTTTCTATCGATACTTATATTAGAATAAAAATATTTCGTCCAATGCTTTATCGACACTTTTTGATTATTTAAATATAATTCGGATTAAGAACGCGCAAGAAATTAAACAATCAAATCGCAGAATCAAGTAATTAGCACAACGAAAGGCTTCGTGATAAATCAATCTTTTAATAAAAATATATAATCTATAATATTTAAAATACTCGTGTATACTTTAATACTCTGCGTATATATGTGATATAATACGTAAAATATTTTGACAACAAATTATAATATGTTGTTCGGTCTTGGCGGCGTATAGCCGCCTCTATTGTTTACAGTTTACAGTCTTGTTATCATTCACACATCGATTCTCAAGCAGTAAAGTAGTGATGCGAAACGCTTGATATATTGTCGAATTCTTTTCCTAAATACGATCACGACTAGTATTGAAACATAATTCACTATGATCATTTTAATTAATTAACTTTTAAAAATGAAAGGATTAATTAATTTTTAAAGATAAGGTAAAGCTATGTCACGATGATAAATTTTCATCGCATTCCGTGTTGCTCTTTTATGATATAATAAAATGTGTATCTTGTATGATTACAATCCGCAATCAGAAGTGCCGTGCAAAGTGTTTTGTGATTGCGTATACGACTAACTATAATTAATCGTGTTTTCGCAAGTAAGTGTGAGTGCCATAAGAAAACAGCAGATGAGAGCAGGAGAGGAAAAGAAAGTTTGGGCGACGAACATACCAACGATATGCGGTAAGTAATTTATAAATTATTTAACATTTATATTTTTTTCAAAATAGACAGATTGTTCCTTCCTTATTTCTTTGATAATTCCTCGATCCTTCCAAATCGAAATTACACGGTTAAAACTATAAAAAAATGTAATAAACATAATAAAATAGACTTCCGCGTTTCAGAAATCACAATTTCATATATAAATACACATCTAACGATAAGTCTCCCGAGAAGAACAGACTTTCACGCATTTCCGGCTTTATAATTAAAATTCTGTCAATGAGTGGTATTCAACGCGATATAAAAGATACTCTTAACATTATTTATTCGCTAAAACTAATATTGCGAAAAATATTGCGATGAGAAAACCTGACAATATATCTATCACCATACAATTAAATGAACTTGAAAGAATTAATTAATGCGTTGTTAATGATTAATTCTAAAACGTTATTATTTAAAACGTATTAATTTTTTGACGTATCAAAGTGGTAGCTATTTACGGAACTAAATATTTCGCGCAATTTATTTATTTCAAGTAGAAATCGAAGCGATAAGAGTTGACAATTATTAATTAATCCATTGACCATTGACCATTATTGATTAATCCATTAATTGATCCATTCACTTTGACGCGACTTATATAATTTTACAATTTATATCTTAACTTAAAATAGGTAGTCATTTAATTCCTCAAAATTCTTAAGAAATTAAATGCTATTAGGAATTAAAAGAATGCTAATTGTAAGACTATTAAAATATTGGAGAGATGAACAAATCAATGCAAAATAATTTTTTGAAATTTTTATCTTTAGTACCTTTAATTTCTTTAGATTAAATATTTATATATTAAAAAAAGCTTGTGCGCATTCGATAATAAAAATGTCTACTCTATAATAATAACCTAAGTATAATTTTATTGTTAGAGTTAAAATGCGCATATGAATTATGAATATGATTAAGCTCTGTTTTCAACTTCGTTCGATAAATACTGTGCTATAAGATCTTTCGATTTTCTTGCTCCCAACTTCAACCAGAAACCTCCTTCCGCCATTGTGATATGTGCCTTTTTATCCAGTATTATGGGATCTCTGGTCTTAGCATCAGGTTCAACATCACAACGCCACAGCAGATAGAACAACATGATCTTCAATTGGAGTAGAGCAAATCTGTTACCTATGCAAACTCTGGGTCCGACACCAAACGGTATGTAGACCGAGTTGTTCACATTGCTGTTCAGAAATCTGTCGGGATCGAACTTGTTCGGCTGCGAATAATATTTGGGGTCGCGATGTAAAGCGTAACTTGAAAACCATACAGCATCTCCGGGCTTCAACGTGACCGATTCGCCGTCTGAAGTCGCCGGTGGCAATTCGAATTCTTTCACACACACCCTATCAAGGAAACTTGCTATCGGATACAATCTGAGAGATTCATTCACAACGGCGTCCAAGTACTTCATACCATTGATAGCTTCATAAGTCGGCTTGCCATTGGTCTCTCTGAGAACATGATCAATTTCATTTCTTAGCTTGTTCTGAACATCAAGTTTGGTGGCGACTTGATGCACCAGGAAGGACGCGGCCGTCGACACAGCATCAAATCCACCAAAGAAAAAAAGGAACGCCTGAGCAGTCATTTCTTCAATGTCAAATTTAGGTCCTTGGTCCTTATTCCTAGTCTCCATCATTAGTTGAATCATATCTGGTCGAACAATCCCCTGCTCATCTCGGATATTTACCGTGCTGCTGACGACATCTTTGAAGAATCTTTCCATTTTTGCGCTGAACATTCTCAACTTGAGAAGCTTTGTGAGCAACGGGAAGTGAGCATGCACGAAGAACATGATAGATAGTCGGCCATCAAAGGTAAAGTTGTTTTTGCCGAGTAAGAAGAATTCATTATTTGGATTTTTAAACGAATCCACACTAATGCCGAAAGCGCATGTAGCCACTACGTCGTTGGTGTATCTGGAAAGCGTGTCTTTCATATTATATGTTTTACCAATCTTTCCGGATTGTGTCACCACAGAATTAGTAAAGTTCTCGGCACATTCGCATATGAGTCCGAACATCATCTTCATCTTACTGGATGTGAAAGCTGGACTGAGCAGCTTCCGCATTTCGCGCCAGTGATCGCCCTGCAGACCGAATAAATTTTTACTGGCCATTGGCTCCTGGTCGCTCACAAAGTTACGGTGATCACAAAAGTTGTCAAAATTTTTGATAGCTATTGTGGCGATCAATTCTGGATCGCGAATCAGGTACACTGGTCTTGTAAGATCGTAGAAACCGACATATTTTGCTTCCGGAAAAAGATTGTATACTCTGCATATGAGCTCCACAAAAGATTCACGTTGAAATATAAAGGGCGTCATGTTACCCAGCAACGGAATCGGTCGTACATGTGGGACTTTTAGCCGCTCAAAATGAGAGAATTTGCTTAGAACAAAATAATACAAACAGATACCTGCTGTAAGAATAGTCAGGAACAATGTAGATAGCTCTATCATGACTATTTTTTAAATTTGTCATATAAGAAGAAAATGTTGGTGATTGGTAGGTTGTTCGTCGAAACTGAAACAATTTTTACGGTTATTTGACCATCAACAATAACATGAAAAAAGAAAATTTTAAATTGTTGTTAATTTCGCTCTTCTATTGTCATTTTATAAATCGTCATTAAAATTGTGTCCAGACTGGAAAAAAATTTTTACCAATTGAAATCGCTCACTATTAACTCGATAAATTATCTGACAATGAGATACGTACTTCACGCTCGAAAGCTTGTAACTGACTGCTTCTCGTTCATCAAATGGAATTGCGCATAGATATAAGTAACGAAGGCGCTGCCATTGAGTGTCCTTTGCAAATTTATTCTTATCGAAATATAAGAGAAGTTGTTATTAAAGTGAATTGGATTAAAGGTTAACTGGTATATGAATCTTTTGCAGTGTCATTATTTAGTATTCTTGAGACGATAACAATTTCTCACTAAATATTTAATTATTTTTAATATATGTTGTTTTTTTATTTAATTCTATAACATATAAATTAAAAATATCTAAACATTTATATGCAACTTCTTTTTCATAGTTTTTTATTTTTGTATACATATATAGATATAACAGACTTTTATATATACATATATACATAAATAAATACATGTGTGTGTGTGTGTGTGTGTGTGTGTGTGTGTGTGTGTTAAGAAAATAGAGTGAGTTAAAATCCTCCTGAGGTAAAATTAGATTAGAAACAAAATTTCGCGTTGTAGCGTATTTATCTACAATCCTCTAATTTTACCTCAGGAGGATTTTAACTTAATCTCTTTTCTTAATTCCATGTCCTACAATTTTTATTTTATGTTACTTTTTGAAAAATCTAATATTTTTAGTGTTGTTTTCAGTTTTTTGGTGAAAATTATTTGTTTCATTTTTTGCGATTTTCTTCAAAACGAAGCAAAAACGAGCAAATCTCTAAAGGACTTTTTGTCTTAGTTTATCGGTCCCCTACACGCTCCTAAAGTTTTGACATTTAAATTGGGAACATCCTGTATATAATTAATTTATTTTAAATAACGACACATTATTTAATATATTAATATTATTTACAGAATACACATTAAATTCTTACAGATTGAAATAAGTGAAGACTTAAAATAAAAAGATTATAAATCAACATCGATAAAATTGTAATTATTGCGTTCTAAAAGAACATTTCCAATGTGCAAAACAAATATAATTCTGCCTTGCTTATTTAAAAAAATTAAAATACGTATTATTTCCAAAACAATAGTTTTTTATTTTTAATTTCCCTGTTCTATATTTAAATAAGCAAAAAGATATATGTCTGCATGTGTATTTAATTTTAGTGACGTAAAAAAGATTTATTTTAATTATATAATTTCATGCTTGGAATAATTTACAAATACGTCTGCTATCTTAATCTCTATTCTCAATAAATAATGTGCAATAGGAGCTTTCGATTTTCTGTCTCGCAGCTTCAACCAGAAACAACCTCACGCTGTCATGAACTAAGTCTTCATACTGAATACTGTGGAAATCCTAGTTTTAGCATTAAATTTTTGAAAAAACAATGCTGCAGCAAGGAACGTGATGTTCATTTCCATTAAAGGAAATCTGTTAGCTGTGCAAATTCTAGGCTAGATAGGCTAGACAGTATACAGATCGAGATGTTGACACATTAACGTTCAAATATTTATTGATATCAAACTTATCTGGTTGCGAATAATATCTGGAATCGCGATGCAAAGTATGATTTGATATTTACATTGTTGGAAAATTTGTTTTTTTTTTTTTTTTGTTAAAAAATATGCCGGTTAAAATTTTTGTGTTAAATATTTAACACATTTATGTGCTAATTTAATATATTGCTGTTGTGTTAATTGAACTCAAATGTTAAATTATTAAAACAACTGAAAAAAGTATAAAAATAACACAACGTGCACACATTATTAATTTTACACAATAGATATGTTTCGTATTATTAGCAACAGGATTTATCTGTTAAAATTTACAGAAAAAAATATTAATTTAATTCTATAATAGAAATGAGAGTGACTACAGACCGTCAATAACATTTTTTCTAAGTTAATTTTATCATTAAAAATATGTTTATTTTACACAAAATTTATTTTAAATTGCTATGAAGTTTGCATTCATTTTGTATTGAAATATTAACATAGTATTAGTATCACCATTTAACATATCTATATTATGTTAAATGAACACAACAATTTGTACATGCGATATGTTAAGTTTAAGCCAAATTTTTTAACAATGTACATACTATTTTCGTGTTTTATCGTAATTGGTTTATTATCCGAAATTAGTGATAATTTAAACTCTTTGATGCACAATTTATCGAGGAAAGCCATTGGATGCAACCTAAAAGTTTTTACGGCATCCAAGTGTTTTGTACTGTCGGTGGCTTGTCATTGATTTTCTTGAAAACATCATTGACTTCTGTTTTCTTCTTTGAATATTAAAATCAACGCCAATCTAATGTATTAAGAAGCACATAGTCGTCTATATAAAATCGAATCTACTGAAAAAGAAGACGCAAATGCGTAGATTGTAATCTCGTTGATGACAAACTTTTTCGACCCGGTGCTTCTATTTACAGAAGACATAAAAGACTATCTGTTATCAAATTTAAGAGTCTTCTTGTCGATTAAAAAAATATTTAATGGATACTAAATTAAATTCATATTGATGCTGTCAGAAATCAACATATGTAACTACCAATCTGTGAGATTGAATGTGTATTCTGTAAATAATATTAGTATATTAAATAATGTTGTTGTTTAAAATAAATTAATCATATATAATATATTTTACATATTATATATATAATAGATTATTATTATTATACACACACACACACACACACACATACATACATTATTTATGTATATATAAAAGTCTTATATTTTCATATACAAAAATAAAAAACTATTAAACAAGTTTACACATAAAGATTTACATATTTTTAATTTATATAATTGTATATTATTATAATTGTAGAATTAAATAAAAAACAACATACATTAAAAATAATAAAATATCTAGCGAAAAATTATTATCGTCTTAAGAATACTAAATAACAACACTGACAATGCAAAAGACCCATGCAACATCAGTTAACCTTTAACCTAATTCACTTAATAACAACTTCTCTTGCGTTTCGATAAGAATAAATTTGCAAAGGATGCAGTCGATGGCAGCGTCTTTTGATACTACTTATCGTTGGCATGTTTGACAAGCAGTTTCTTTACATTGTACATCTTGCCAATTTTTTTGGATTCCGTCAGCAAATATTTCTCAGAGAAAAAATTTTCAACGCACTCACATCTCATATACTGGTTCAAACATCATGTTTATCTTGCTAGACATAAAACTACGACTGAGAATTTTCCGATTTTTGCTGATTGCGTCACAAGTCAAACTATATTTTATTGGTCAATGAATCGAGATATTTATTAATGAAATTACACAGAAGTTGTCAAAATTTTTGTGGCGATCAAATTTGGATCGCGGATTATACATATAGAATAATGTTATAAAATCATAGAATTCGTAACATTTTGCATCTGAAAAGAGATTCTGCATTTTCTAACAAGATACATGTCGAAAAATTGAAAAATCCAATATTAAACAGGAATGAAGTAGAAAAAACATATGGAATATTCAGTTCGAGAAGTGAGATAATAAAATAATACAAACAGATGCAATAAGAATAATCATATTTATTCTTGACTAATATTAAATCTTTGGTTGCTTGTATAAAACAAATGTTGCTGATTGTTCTCAATTTTTATCTAATTAAATTAAGATTTTCAGGCTTAATTATTATGTCGGTATCAGTATAATTAGGAGAAAATGAATTCAATTTTGCTAATTTTACTATTCAACTAGTTTTATTTTACCATTAGAATTCAGAATAAAAAAGATTTCCGCGATTAGTTAATTAATTACTTACATTTATTAGTTCATTAATAACTCGCAATTAATTAATTATTCACAAAAGGCTAATATTCTATTAATTCAAAAAATTATCTGGTGATAAAAGACACACTGTAAAATTCCATAACTGACTTACTGTTTTATGTCTGTTACAGAGTAAAACTAATAACTTTTTAAAATGCGGAGAGAGAAATAGGTATATCACAAGAAATTATCATTGATATGTGTTCTTGGCCAATTTATTCATTCACCGATTGTGTGACTTGTTATTCTTTAAGTGATTCAGATTCAAGGCTAACCAATGATTAGCCTCACTTTAGCATCGTTATTGTTCACTATTTTTAATATGAAAATAGATAAAAATTTAACAACATATAAGAACATATTAATAGTTTAATAGATATTAAATTAAATTTTTTAATCAAAAAGGAGATTTTAATATAGAAAAATGTTTCAAATAGGATTTAAAAAATTTCTTTTTAAACAATGGCGTTATCATCGATTTATATAAAGTGTTCAGTGAATCTCATGGTATAATCAGAATAGAAATTATTTTTGATATGAAAAGAAATAAAAAATTAAAATATTTAGTTTGATTAGTTATATTAATTTTTTTTAATAAAAATAATTATATATATATATATATTAGATTTTATTATAACATGCGTTCAATTCCTCACGCATATTATAATTATAAAATAAATTATGAAATGCGCTCCGAATGTCGAAACATTTTCATTGTCGCAACATATTACAATTACCGTCGATTTATTTATTCATCGTGTACATTCGCGAAATTTAAACCGTGATTTATCTTCTGATTTAATCGTTGGGCAACATCGAAACTTCATCTATTAATTAATTATAAAGCTATACATATAAATTAAAAGTATAATTTGATATTGCTTAAAAGGCTTGATAATTTTGTTTCAACAATAAGAAAAAAGTGAAAGCAATTTATTGTAAATATCTTCTACATATTATATCAAAAAAAAAAAAAATTATGAAAAGAAAAATTATTAAAAAAATTTATTTAAGAAAATTTATTTCATTTCACATATGCATATACATAAAAATACTTCAATAATAACTTATTATCGTTGTCCGTTTTGTACTTCTATCTACATTTATTTTAGAAGATACGTAGAACTACGCAGTCGCATCCATTTTTCAACACTGCTGGTAAAATTACCGTTTGGCGCATTACTATTACTTCAGGTTCCGTCAGAATCATCGATATCTCGAATCGCTTGAGTCACTTGATTTTTCATCTCTCGTTGTTATAAGCAAAGTTGAAAAATGTCAGAACCAAAATCTTTTACGTAAAATATCGAAAAATTAAAACATTTTA